TATCTTCCTCATATAATCATACATAAACCTACTACAACACTTTGGCTAAACTCCTTTATCCTCTAATCCAGAAATGTCATTTTTGCTTAAACTTTGAATGCTGCTGCTCTTTGATATCCAACCAAGACCTTTAGACTTCCGCTTATCAATTAGCTATCGTATTTCCAAACATGTTAACAAGTTTACATTTGACCGTATATAAACATCGTTATAATGGGCCAAACGTTCGCAATCGAATCAGTGTTATTTGGAAATGTTGACGGAAGAAAGCAAGTCAATTTGTTCTGAATTGTATTGATGTCAATGCGGAACGTTGTGTTTGAATTCAATGTTACTTGGGGTTTAATTTTATTATTTTTTGGCACAAAATGAAAGTTTTGTTAATGCAGTAGAACTTCTGTGTGATGAATTGCTCAATCATTTTAAAACTGTTTGTTATAAAGGAGTTTTGGTATACAGAAGTTTTAAATTTACTGTGCAGTGTTATACGGAGATTCCAATGTTGTATATATAAGATTTTCAAAGAGGAGAAAAGGGGGGGGGGTTTCAAATAGAGACTAAAACGTCTCTCTTTAGTACTAGTACAGTCTCAAAACATTCGTACAACAAACAACTTTAAAATCTCAGCCTAACGCTGCATATTTCGCGTAACACTTCTGTATTTTAAAAGTTCTTTATAGCGAACACAATTACAGGTTCAGAACTATCCGTTATATGGGAGTTCTATTGTACATAACTAAATCAACAGTAAAGCACATGTTGTTTGATAAATAAAAATTTAATACACCATCATTTTAAATTTTAATTGTGTGCAAAAATTGAAACATTCGCTTCTCAACAAAGTGAGAATTTTGCCAGTCTATATAATACCTCCGTGCTGTTTTTTAGTATAAATAATAGTTTTGATATCATCTAACAAAGTTTGTTTTTAGCAAATTTGATGTCACTTTTTCAGAAATGGTTTTTTTAAGGTAAAGCAAAATAAAATACGGTATTCAGTGTGTTTATGTTTTATATTTAGGCCTACAATTTAGATTTTTTAAGCTTTTAGTGTTTACTAAAAAACGTTTTTTAATAACGCTTGTTATAAGTCAAAGATTACTTTTGAGGCACTGAAACACTCGAAAAGTCATAAGATATCAAAAATACGTCTATGTATGCACTTTTTTCAAAATTAACTTTTTATAAAGATTCTTGTTTAATAAACACACTTATAAGCTGAAAAATACGTTACTTATTAACAATGACATTGATACTTACTGTCTGTTTTTCATTTTGTTGCTAAAATTAGTACAGTAGAACTGTTGTATAACAAATTTTTCTATAAAAAATCATTAAAAATCATGAACGTGGAACTCCTGTATAACGAACTCCACTATAAAGAATGTCCGTGGATCCCACCACGAAAACGTTCGTGCCAAAAGGCCGACCTAATTCGTGGCGATCACGGATTTCTCCGCAGTCTAGAGAGTCGGGAGAGCCTTGAGTGTCTTGTTCGAAACCGTTGTTGTTTGTAAAGTTTGATATACGTTTGATATTGAGTTTATGTTTGAATCTTTTGATTAATTATATTGTTTGCTTTGATTTACTTTGTTTGGTTTGCATGATTTGATTTGGTTTGAGTTATCAGTCTTTCCCGAAAAGAATGTTACAAAACTGCACAGTGCAGTTTGAAGGAATCGCTGTCGCGCCGAGAATTGGGCGACAAGCGACAAGGTCTGCGACAGTCGCTTGCACCCGGCGACATCCCAATGGAAATCACAATGTCGCAAGTCCAAAGCTTTGCAACAAACTGTCGTGTCGCGCTTCGAATGGCGATGCGACAGTGTGTCGCGGTTGTCGCAACGCTCAAGCCACAACTGTGTTCAATGGAAGGATTGCGACACGTTTTTTTTGACTGTTGCAAGTCATTGAATCCTGCGACAACCGGCCGGTGCGGCACTGAAGGGATCACACTGTGCAATCTTTCCTCACATCGTTGGCTGTATCGAGTGATCGCGCGGGAAATCTGCACTGTGCAGCGGAATTAAAAGGGCGCGATTTTCTCGGGGCTGCACCGTGCAGCTGTAACATTCATTAGTGGAAAGACTGATATAAACTTTTATATTATCTTAATTGGCTTTGATTGTTTGAAGTTATTGGAGATTAACTTATTACTTATTGCTTGATTGTTTGTAAAACTGTTTCTTACAGTATTTGATTGATTGGTGGTTTGAGTACGACTTATATTGTCGTACATTACTGGTTGAAGAGTCTTCTCTCTCCCAGACGGACGTAATTCCCGATTCGCCCCGGGTGGTTCAACCCTGCATATAGCTTCTGGGAGCTCTATCCCTGTACAACGAACAATATGGCGTTTAACTCTCTAACTGACATAAAGAAGTGCATTTGAGGCTCCTGTATAACAAAACTCTTCTATAACGAACAAATTTCAAATTCTTGTATAGTTCTTTATACAGAAGTTCCACTGTGTTTTTAGCTCTACACTGTTAACGAACAATTTTTTGAAATAAAACACTAGCCTAACTAAAATATGATCATCTGACTTATTTCCTAACAGTACCAGTAATTCCATCACGTGCTTCCCCACCCAAAAAAATACAAAACTCTTCCTGTTTTTATGTTGTAATATCTCTGGCTGTTTGTTCCGCTTTTATATCACAAGAATTTGACGGAAAAATTAACAAGAGCAAAGCGGCTTTAAATTACATTCGACCACTACTATTCAGTCGAAAAACAAAACTTCTGTACTTCTACGCCCAAATTCGGGCATTAATTATACTCAAACTTGTTTTATGTTTTATTCAAAGTTTTTTTTATGGTAATCGGGTGGAAACGGATTTTTAAAAATTTTGTAGTTTGAAAAACCATTTTATTTTTGAAATTTGAAATAAAATTATTGTTGGAATTTTGAAATACAGTAAAATTTTAAACGGTTAGAAGTCACAAAATTGATGTAGCAAGTGTTTTCAAAATTCTTAATAGTTTTCAAATTTAGAAAAAAGTATAAATAGTTTTATTTCAGTTAATTAGCAGTAATCCGGTATCAAAACGTATTGTTTGTTGGCGGATAATGGGGTAACTTTAGGAGCTTCTATGGCATACGTAGTAAATTTGATTAACAAAGATAATGTCTACGTAAAAGTAGCAAATTTACTGTATTTTAGTGTAATTTTATAAGTATTTACTGTATGTTGCTGTAGTTTTATTACTTATTTTATACTTTTATCGGAGAAGATAAATTTTTCTGTACTTTGAAATTGCTCATTTTTTTATTTGTGTGATTTCCATATCCTACATATTCCTTTTACAATATGTTTTTGTACTTTACACTACTGTTCTGTATTTTGTGCCAATTTTTCGGCAAATTACAATTTTTTACAACTTTTCAATTTCCAACGTATTTCGTGCTATTTTAAGTACAATTGCTTTAGGCGTATTTTACCAAAAAATTTGCTGCCAAAATCGTTTTTTTCTATTAAGCATTGTGGTTTAAAAATCCCAAAAAATTGGAAATTTTTAGTCGTTTTGAAATGCTAATATAATACATTTCAATTTCGTTTTTACTCTACGTTTTAGGTCTGCGGATTGAGTACATAAAAACGTCAAAGCCTACTCGAAATAGGGTTGACAGTTTTTAGTGGGAACGGAGAGTGCGACGTGTGTAGTCATTTTGATATCCAGAGTATTTTCATACACAGTCTTTGCTTTGATGATGGTGCTGGCTCAGCACTACCGGAGGTAGGGAGTTGAGGATATATAGAAAATTTAAAAATATGTGAAATTTTTAAATATTAATATCTGCTTTTTATATCAAAGCCTTTAGAAACCAACTTTGAGAGGGCGAAACCAAAAAAATTTACTCCACCACCCCCACCACGCAGCGTCAGTCTCGTGGTTGCCTGCACTGCCTATTCTCATTATAACCTTAACCTGCTAACAAAAAATTCAGATTTACGTAAGAAACGTGACAAAACCTTCTTGTCAATGTCGTGCATTAAGAAAATTAAAAAGTTTCTTTTTTATTCAGTAGGGTAATTAGAGACTCGCTAGCCGGAACTTGGCTTAATCTATCTGATTTACAAATATTTTTGGCCAAAAACTGTTATAAATTAGCATTGTATTGCTCTAGGTTTTGGTGGATCTCTAAACAATTAGTTTTTTATTACTTTGCCTTGCCAGTACCATGCTAGTGCCCCCTTTCTAATCAATATGACCCAAAACCTACTGTAATATCTAAGTTGAACACCAATTACAAATTGAACTGCATGCAAATGCACACTCAAACCCAAGACCATGCTGTTTTATTGTACTCGTGAAATCTTCCTAGAACTAATTTTACGAAATTCTCGTAAACTACGCCTATAACAAGACTTCCGGCGTAGCGCCACTATCTACCCAGTTTCTTGTTTTAATCTTGTTTGAGTAAAACTTGTATATGTATAATATGCTTTGGGTTAAGCACGTGCTCTATTTTGGCTTGGAATTTTGAAGGTTTGGGAATAGTACTGAAATAGTGGTAGGAGCGGGAAGAGATACCCAATATTTTAAAATATTTTTTAGTTCCTTCTATGTCTGTTGTATACACTCCGAACAACTGCGCACTATGACAAAACTAACAGACTTGTCTGACTGTTATGCACTTACGTTCTCGACTGACATTTGGGAATGTTGATGCTCTTATAACTCACAAGCTAGATTAATTCTGAGAATGTTGCTACTTTAAGCTTGTTTTGATTTCAAGTACTATTACACAATTTTTCTCATACTGTTTTTGCATTATTACCGGGATGACGTGGTATACAAATCTTATTCTACTTGGTCCCCCAAGTTTGCATCTGGGTTGTGTACATAAAAAAATAATGAAAAATAGACTTTTTTATATTTATTTTAATAAAACAATCACAAGTAACAACGAAGATATTATAACAATAATTACGTATTACAAAAAAAAGGTTTACTATAAAAAAACAATGGTATAAAAACAGATTATTCGTAGCTTATTGCTTTTCATTCCACTCTTCAATCCGCCGCCTCAGCGCTTCTAATTTTAGATGCAGTGTAAGGTGTTCTTTGCGTAGTTTGTAAAATTCGACGTCTGCATCGTACTTATCGTGGAGTTCCTGAAGCGTTTGATTTGCCTAAAAAAAATAACGCGATATAAAATAAGTAAAGTAATATATATTACATTTGCTTCTAAAAATTTTAATTCTTTTAAAATATTAATGTACTTACCTTGTACTTGTCTTCCAATTCAGCATATTTGTAAATTTTTTGCAGTTGTACAAATTCTTGGTATACCGCGGCCAATTTTTGATTTGCTGCACCACCGTACGTTGGATAAGCACTCTAAAACAATAAAAAACTATAAGTTTTGTCAAAGAAAACTTTTTTCATTTTTGTAATACAAAGCAATAATGTATATAAATTACTACAAATTTAATAATCCTTACTTTAAAACATTTTTTATGTTACTAATAACTGTTAGGCTAAACTTAAAAAACTAACCTCAAACAACTCTGTGTATAGTGCACAGGTCTTGGCGTCTTTAACTTCTGGAAAAGTTTCAAGCCAATCAATTAAATATGGTATTTCCGATGTCAAACAACAAGACTTTGGCCTGGCGTATAAATTTGCCCAGTCATGTTTGACATCTGAATTCATCGTTGTAGATTTGCCATCTGTATTCACAGATTCTGGATTGTCGTCTGAATCGGCATCTGGATTTTCCGTTGTTTCTTTGACCACGTTTTGTGCTGATCGATCAACAAGTTTTTTAGTACTTGATTGATTTTTATCGCAGTTAACATCAGTTTTTGACGTTCTAACATTTTGGCTTGTTTGTTTAAATCTTTTAACCGCTGGTTCCTCCGGTATAGCGAAACTCCTATCACTGCCACTTTCAAATGGTGTTACCGTTCTTTTCTTGTTGTTGGCTGATGTCTTCGTAAGTTCGGTCTTTGTCTGTTGCTGAGATTGCAATTCTGCTAACTTGACTACTTTATCACGCGTCCCAGAAAACGATTTTTCCGTACCATTAACTACAAGCTTCGTTTTTAGTTCAGAAACTTTTCGGAACGATGTGGCACTTTTTTGGCTCACAGCTTCAACGTTACCGTTTAGTCTTTGTTGTTTGGATGTAAAAGTGCATACTGAGTTGATACTGTTACCAACTTCAATTGTGACATCCTGAATTAAAAGTATTATCTTTGGCTATTGAACATTTTTACATTTAGGACATTGCACAGTAAGAAGATTTTTGTTTAATTATTCAGTTTTAAGGTAGTCATTTTAGTCAGCGGGCAACAAGGGTACTTCAAAATGAAACGGAGCACGTTTATTTTATTATAATTTTCACTTACTGTTTCGGCCGACACGATCCTAACTGGCCAACCAATCTCAATAGCTTTTTGAATGGCTTTGTTGCACTCAGCGGTCAACTTGAGTGCAATCGACTTGCTCGAACCCTGACATTTTTCAAGCTTTTCAAATCCAGGAGTCTTTTGGCCGACGGCCTTGGCTACGTTACTAACGGTGTTCATTTTTTAACGTTAAAACACAGGAAAAATACTTTATTATTTTGATAAAAACGAAGACTTTGCGCGAAGTACTCAAGTATACTCGATTATTGTATGTGTTAAAACAAAAAGGAACAATGTAAAAGATAATATAAAAAAGGAAAAAAACAATAGCAACTATCCTAAACGGATGCGTAAATTTATACTGACGTTTGCACCGGCAATCCGGAAACATTTTTTTATCAATTATATCTACGGATCTTTAGAGGATTTGTGCAAGTCTTACCAAATGTTGTAAAACGTAGAAAAATTTTTGCTTGATTTCCGCTATTACGTAATAGATTATAGTACAAGCCTATACAAACTGTAGTACTAGTTCAATAAACCAAAACGAAAATTTTTGCATAAATGATTGTTTAAATTTTAAAAAATGGCTAAAATTGCCTCATTTTTAAACTCGTATTAGATAATACCGGACATTTTGGGATCAAAAATAAAAAAAATTAAACAAAGAAATAGTCATGGTTCTACCACAATTTTCGCTAAAGTAGTATGTTTACAATCAGAGATTTGGTAACTGTACATAGTTCAAAAAGCCCAAAACAAGTAAAAAACCAAAAGCAACCATCTGCAACGGACGTATAAATTCATACTGACTTGTTCCGACTGGCAATCCAAAAATATTTTTTTTTATCAAGTATATCTACGGATCATTGACCTTCGAAGAGTTACGTAAATTTTATCAAAGGTTTTCTGGATTGCCGCTATTATGTAATAGGTCATAGTACGGGTCTACAGAAACTATAGTATTAGTCTAATAGATAAAACCGGAAATTTTTAGATCAAGAAATATAGAATTTAAAATGACTGTTATTTAAAGCACATTATCAATGTTTTACTTTGCATCGTCCAGAATTAGAATCGTCCTTTATTTCACCTTTAAAACAACTGAGAACGAATAAAAACCAAAAAACACGTTGATTTCGATATTATTTGCACACTCGTTATAACATCAAAACTGTCATTAAGCATCCTTCTTACGATTAAAACGATGTTTACAATCCGAGCCAATTAAAATACGCTCGTTCAAATTAGATAATAAATTTTGAGGGAATGGCTTTCAGCTCGGACTATGTAACCTTTATAGCCGCCGGCCCAAAGTTAATGAGTTTTTATTTTGGCAGAGAAGAGTTTTGTTTTTGATTTTTGTTAGATTTTTTAATTTTTTTTATATTTGAGTTTTTTTTACATTATAGTATACAATAGTCTCTTGCTAAAGGCAAGAATAGTATACATTTTCTTAGTTTTATAAATTCAGACTAGCAATTGCTTTTTTTTTATTAAAGGACCAGTTCGCCCATTTAATATCATTGGCATTCTGTCGCAAAAATCCCTGAAAATCAGTCAATATCGTTGCGGGAGCCAAAATTATTATTCTAACAACTCCTTGGCACCTAAAAACCAAAACAAAAAACAAGAAATTACATACCAATAACCATAGGGAATCAAACTGTAGCTTTGTAGATGGTTAACGTGTATTAAAATGGCTATTTGAAGGTGTTATATACGTTGTGGTAAAGGAACTTGTGTTTGTTACCTAAAATAGCGAGTTTTAGATATGATTTCGAAATAAATAACGACAAACCTTATTATACCTTATAGTTATTGAAATAGAACCTAAAACAAGCAAAAAAAAGATAAAAACCATACCAGTTACCTACTTCGTTTGATAATAGAGCCAATTGATAGCTAAAGAGATCAGCCATCTTAATAATTACCCATATGTTACCCAACTTAAAACAAAACAGGCAACAATATAGGTAATAAATATAAGATAGCTGACTTCATAGAAAAATATTAGTAGGCAACAATAATATACAACAGCTAGATAAAATAAATAGGAAACAGCACAAATAACCGACAAAAACAATATCGGGACAATTGCGGGGCCGACCCGTTCACGTTTTTCTCGAAAAATAATAATTTTGGCTCCCGCAACGATATTGACTGATTTTCAGGTTTTGCGACAGAATGCCAATGATATTAAATGGGCGAACTGGTCCTTTAAACGAAAGTAACATTTCAAAAGGTCAAGAGCTCTAAAAGTTACATCTTTGATTTAAATAATTTTCAATTGAATCAAAAAAGCCTAAAAATACATCGGCGACAAAATTTATGCAAGAATTTTTAAACTTTGGTCGAACGGCTAAAGAAATCTAACGTAAGTTCGATTTATAGCGTTACAAAGGCCGTTAAAGACTGATGTATAACAAAAATCTTTTATCACAAGCAATTTTAAAATTCCAACCGATTCGTTATACAGTAGTCTTAGTGAACGTATCATATTTTTTAAAATACAGCCAAGATACTGTGACTAAAACATGTGCGATAGGCTTGATAGTAAGTTAATATGGCGCTAGGTTTTATATGATTTAGCTTAGGAAAAGGCATAGTAAAAAATTTTTATTTTTGTACCGTCACAATCATGTGACAAACTCCGCAATTTTTAAGGTTTTTTTGCATTTTTTCTAGCAATTTCACCACTCTGCTCAAAATTATTTTTACACTTTACACTTTTTGACCCTTTTTTAAGTACAGTTTTCTTTAAACATCTTTTGTTATTTGCAACTTGAACTCCACTTTACAAGAATTAAGTTAGTATCATCTTCTGCTACAATTTTCATCACAGTGTTGTTTAATGTTATTGCTTTATATTTTTGCTCTTATTGTTTTTATTTTATTATCGTTTTTCTAGATTATGTCGTATGCTATTATGTTTACGTACATTTATGAAGTAACAATATTTTACAATTCTTTTTTAATTTATAGTTAAAATAGCCAGATATCAATGCAAACTATACTTTAAACGCAATGCCATACTATCAAGCATTATGATAAATTACTAAAAAATTATTATGACCTATATATTTATCATAGTACATGCTTAGTTTACGACGTGTTTTATAGTAGCAATATTTTGCAGTTTTTGATTTGAATTTGTGATGAATTAGCGTAATTAAAATGAAATATTTACGTTATTATTTTATGTTACTTATTATTGTTTTTTAGATTTTTGAATTAATTGTAAGCCATGTTCTGTATAACTGACAGACATTTTTGTTTAGAATTTTTAAAAATAAAAAAAATATATTTTTTAGGATGGTTGGGTCAAAAATTTGAGAAGCAAAACCGCTTCAGTTTAAAACTTTTTTTTCTGATGTTTTAAAGGTCATATTTTTAAATTTGCTCTTTAATGCATAGCATTTAAGCATTCATTTTTTATCTTATCGTACTCTTTTGGCAAACTTGAATTTTAAGATGTTTTAGACGTTTATGTTTTTAAGGCTCTTCTTGTGGTACGCACTGTAAGGAATTCTGAGCTGATGATTATTATTTAAAGAAAGAAAACATTTTTCTTTTTTTATTTTACTCTACTGTACCGTACTCTACCCTATCTGATACTACTCTACCCTACCTTACCTAATCAAATAACCCACTCTATCATATGCGACCTTACTTACGCTATCTTGCTTTCCCCTGCCCAATCTCACTCTACCCTATCTTATCCTACCCAACACACTTACTTAACTCTATCCTACCCTACCATACTTGCCTTACCCTATTCTGCCCTACTATACTACTCTGTTTTACCCTACCATACTTACCATATCCTATCTTATCTTATTATACTTACCAACTTTACATTTCAACTTGTTGATGTTTACCTTAATATTTCTGCCAAATTTAGGGTTATTCATCCTTTCTGCTCAATATTTCTTGCATAACATGTATTTTGTACGCGTATTCAAATATATATAGACGTGTTAAAGATTACGAGCGTTTTCTTGAAATTCGGTTTTACGTAATCCTCTTATTAAAAAGTAATCGTTTTCAGCCAGCCGATATAGTATCTCAAGTGGAATATCCGACCAGAATATCAAACATAATTCAGCATTTTGTGGATTAAAGCGACCGAAACGAATAGTCTGAGTTCAACTACAAGTTCCGCCAACATGGTAGGTTTACAATCAAAGGCTTGGTTACTGTAATTTTTGATAGCCTCAGTTACTGTAAATTTTAAAAAAGTTTAGCTGTACTATTTTTTCTTAGAATGTAACCTCATACTTCACAAAATATTTTGAAAATAGATTTTTCTTAAAAATATGTCACACTGACGTAGTATTGTTTTTCTGTTTCATTTTATAACCGACCACTTTGAAACATTTTCACTGTCAATTTAATTTGTTTGTTTATGAAAATATGTTCAACGTAACTCAATTAATGTCATCTTGAATATAATACTCGGTATCTACTTATAATTGTTTTGAGCATTAAAGAACGGAACTATGAGTAAAAATAGAAACAATGGAAATTGATAATAAAAACTCTTTTATAATGAACAAATTTAAAATTGTTTAACAATTTGTTATACAAAAGTTTCATTGTAGTAAAAGTAAACTTTTTGACAAACATAATCTTTTCTGCACTGTAAAAATGAAAAAAAATTTAAAGTAGAATTCCTAAGATTCATTTCAAGCTTTGCAAGCCAAATTAAGTTTTGATTACGAGCGATTAGCCCTCATTAGACAGTATTAATTCTCAAGAAAAGCAAAAATGTTTTAAGAGTTTAGAAAAGGTAAAAACTTTCACTAATTATCGGATAATTTCTAATTTTTAGTGTAATTTGGTTGTAAAATGAGTACAAACTGTGTAAAAAGTTTTTAAAAAATGTGTTTTGCAACAAACAACATTTGGCAGTATTTTTCATGTGACAAGTTTAATGGTTACGGACTAAATCTGTAAGGAGTTTTTTAAGTGCTGGGTGGGTAGTTTTAGTTTTACAGAGATTAGGAGCACGGTAACCAAAACGAATTTTTTGTTTACAGTTGTCGAAAAAGTCATTTTTTTGGAGTATGGTGAAGGTGTGAAAGTAGAGCCTGGCAAACATTATTAGGTACCTACATATATATTTATATAAAATTTTGCTTTGATTTTTTACTCTTTTTATCCAATTGTCACAAGGG